TGGAATTTACAGAATAAAGTAGTAGATATTGAACAAATAATTTATTAGCGAGGAAACTTTTTTTTTAAAAAAAGAGAAGGACAGTTTACCACTAGAACAAGGCTTGATCCTACATGACTGGCCAGCAACTTCCAAATATTCTGCATAGCTTTACTTTACATTTTGACATCAAACAGAAATTACTGCAATACTGTTCTTAATATAAGTTACAGGATTTTAATAGGTTAGAATGACTTCAGTCAGTAATACAACCTGTAAAGAACTGCAAATTTTAAACAAATTAATATATTTAACCTCCCCCCAATTAAATTCAAAAACACATAAAAGCAAAGCCCTTTGCTTTACATATATCTCCTGTTTGTATTTTTGGCTTCAAAAAACAGGACTTACTTTCAGTGAAGGCCTGAAGAGAATGCTGGGCTTCTGCCAGCATTTGTGAAGGTTGAACTGCAAACTTGTTTTTTTCTTTCTCTCCTTCTCGGCTTTTCTTCTTTCCAATTTCTCTCTGTTCTACTTTTTGTATGACACAAAATAAAGTTTAAATATTCTTCTTTTTAAGATACAAACTTTCAGTCATAAAGTCTCACACTGTGTAAATGTTGTAATGACATTTTAGATAAATTTAAAAAATAATCAACCACAAACTATCTCAGTCAGAAGAATTGAGATATAATAAAGAACTAATGCCATTCAGTTTAAAAAAGAATAATAAAAAAAAAAATCTTAAGATGTAAATGCAGATTTACTGAGAAGGGTCCAGGAAGACTTCCATCCCACCTTCCAGTTAGTGCACAATTGTCATACCCCTACTATAATGTTTGCAATTCCTGAATTCCTGGCACTGTTTCAATTATTTCTTTCATGTCCCTGCTCCTATGCATCAGTAATTTCCAAAATAATCTAACATAGATGAGGCATAAGTTCCCAATGGACATGGAAGAAGAAAGATGAAGTATTTGGGATTCAAAGTGGGGAAGGCAGGGATTTTTTTTTTAAATCTATGAAGAAACTGAAATTTTAGTGTATGATTTGTACCTTCCAAAGACATGAGAAGTATCATGAAATTGCATCCGCGTCTTCACGCTAAAAACAGCAACTAAGAAAATTCAGTCTCAAATATAAACACTGAAGAATAATATACTGGAACAAGTTTCTAAACCTAAGCTTTTTCATTTAAATGTAGATAGGATTAGCAGCTCTTGAAGAAGATTAATATCTATACCTAGTAGCATAAACAGAAAAGTTGCTATAAATAAAAATGCAGGTAGACATTAGAACGTACTTGTTAGAACACTCTGCAGGTAATCACGCTCTGTAACACCCATTATGAAATGTATCATTTATTAATCGCGACAGTAGAGTTGCCTTTGGGGAAACTGTAACCTCTCTGACTGTTATCCCTCTGCAAGGAACCAGTCTTTAGAGAAATGGCTGTGACACAGAGATGAACAAATCTCTGCCATAAAATGAAGCTGTTTTCAGAAAATAAGAGACTAGCACTGCTTCTAATGAGATCTACAGTTAAAACAAAACTTTTTTTAATTTACACCATTGCAACATGTTCAGTGAAACAACAACAAACCCACAGAGCTGCATGTGGCAGCATAAGGACTTAGAAATACGAAGCCAGAGGTTATGTTAGCTTCATTTATGCTTGGCCTACAAAGATAACGCTACCTAAAATTACAGACCTTTGCCAATTTTATCAGTTTTCTCTCCTTTCTCAGGTTTATCTGACTGCTTATTCACAGATGAAACTCCATTTTTTAACTCTGAGACTTTGGTCTCTTTAGGCTTTGTAGCTGACTCTGGAATATCAAGTTCTGGAGTTTTGTTATTTGGCAACTTGAATTCTGGCATAGTCTCTTTCAAGAAGCTCCAGACTTTGTCCAAGTATCCAGGCCTTTAAAAACAAACACATTTATATGTCAATGATAATGATATTTGCAATAAGAAAGTGTGATTTTCATTTAGGCAACACTCTACTACAACTGACAATCCATCTCTTAGAAAAGTTACTGGGTTATTTTAGTAAATAAAACACACTTGCCTGATTTTGTGTATCAGCCAATTTGTTGAGACGGATTATGGACAGATCCATAAAGAAAGAGACGGTGGTTAGCAAAGCACGTAAAGAAAGTATCCTTTCTAAAGGTTTTTAATAAATGAAAGTTGGAGCAGGGAAATTTGCAGGCCACTTTGCAATTACCCCATATAACAACTTGATTCTGGCTCTGTACATTAAAAACCTTATGAAAGGTACTTCCAGATTAGGTTTTCCTAACTGTTTCAGCACCAATAGGTCCATGCGTCTTCCACTGATTCCACCAGCTACAGCAGCTTTCTTACATGACGTGACAGTTGCAATTGACAGACAATTTCTCCACAGAAACTTAGTGATTCCAGAAATAATCTAAAACTGAATGAATCATTCAGGGCCATGAATAAGTTCCACGCAAGCTAACTGCATGCAACCTTTTTTAAAAAAAAAAAAAAAGAAATAATTGGTTGTACAATAAGCTATAGCCATTTTATACTAGGATTGAAAAGACTCTGCGGTATTCACATTTTCTTATTCCAGAATATAAATGCCAGATTCATTAATACTATTTTTGCTGTTGCAATTGTAAAACTAACTACATAAAGAAGCAAAATTTAGGTTATTTAGATTTCTAAGGCCATATATAGGCTACATACACATGACTGTAAGACACAAATATATCAAAATCCTAAGTTGCAAGCATAGCTTGGGACATAAAAATTGCTGAAATAAGGGCTAAAATAGCCCTTGACTGAACTTATTTAATACTGAAATAGTTATAAATAAACAATTATACCTAAATAAACTACATGTAAACCAAAACTATTTGTTATCTATGTATTCATTAGAATGCTGTCATGGTTTAACCCCAGCCAGCAACTAAGCACCACACAGCTGCTCACACACTCCCCCCAGGTGGGATGGGGGAGAGAATCAGAATGGTAAAAGTGAAAAAAACTGGTGGGTTGAGATAAAGGCAGTTTATCTCAAAAAGGAAAAAAAAAAAAAAAAAAAAAGCAAAAGCTGCATGTGCAAGCAAAGCAAAACAAGGAATTCATTTGCTGCTTTCCATCAGCAGGCAGGTGTTGAGCCATCTCCAGGAAAGCAGGGCTCCATCACACATAACATTTATTTGGGAAGACAAACACCATCACCCTGAATGTTCCCCCCTTTCTTCCTCCCCCAGCTTTATATGCTGAGCATGATGTCATATGGTATGGAATATCCCTTTGGTCAGTTGGGGCCAGCTGTCCCAGCTGTGTCCCCTCCCAGCTTCTTGTGCACCCCCAGCCTACTCGCTGGTGGGGTGGGGTGAGAAGCAGAAAAGGCCTTGATCCTGTGTAAGCACTGCTCAGCAGTATCTAAAACATCCCTGAATTATCAACACTGTTTTCATCACAAATCCAAAACATAGCCCCATACTAGCTACTATGAAGAAAATTAACTCTATCCCAGCCAAAACCAGCACAAATGTACACACAAAAAGGCAAAAAGGTGTAATTTTTTAAAAAGTCTAGATATTTAGAGCCTGTATCCCAGTCATTCATTCAGTAAAAAGAATGTCAAACTGGAAAAATAGAATGTCTATCCTTTAAAATCACAAAATGGACTTAAACACAGAGGAAACACACATTCCCCACCTGGAGTCCTGCATCCAGCTCTGGAGCCCTCAGCACAGGAAAGACATGGACCTGTTGGAGTGGGTCCAGAGGAGGGCCACCAAAGTGATCAGAGGGGTGGAAAACCTCCCCTGTGAGGACAGGCTGAGAGTTGGGGTTGTTCAGCCTGGAGAAGAGAAGGCTCCGCGGACCTTATTGCAGCCTGCCAGTACTTAAAGGGGGCTTATGAGAAAAAGAGAGGGAGAGACTTTTCACCAGGGCCTGTAGAGACAGGAGAAGGGGTAATGCTTTTAAACTACAAGAGGGTAGATCTCGAGTAGATCTAAGGAAGAAATGTTTCACACTGAGGGTGGCGAAACACAAGCACAAGTTGCCCAGAGAGGTGGTAGATGCCCCATCCCTGGAAACACTCAAGGTCAGGTTGGACGGGGCTCTGAGCATCCTGATCTAGTTGAAGATGCCCCTGCTCATTGCAGGGGGGTTGGACTAGATGACCTTAAAAGGTCCCTTCCAACCCAAAGATTCTATGATTCTATGAGATTCTATAAAACAAGAAAAAAATGTTACTTTCGGTTAGAAATACTGTATTTGGTTGGAAATAAAAGTATATCAGCTGTTCCAATTTAAAAGGTGAAAACACCGTACTAGCTGAAGTTGATTACTTCCAAATTCATGAGGTATATTTTCTATAGTACATTCAGATATAAAGTTATTATTATTACTTGCAAACATTTTGTATTTGTATACTAGATGACACAGATTTCTCTAACGCTGTTTTCACCACAGTGTTTAATATTAATTAAAAATAAATTAATTTTATAAAGAATGGGCATCAGCTTAACATGATAAATAGCTTTACAAGCAACTGTATGACCTATAAAGAAAAACACAATAAACATAATTGCATTCCTTGAAGGCACATTTCTCAAATACCGGCAGTAGAAAATGTACACTTCCTAAATTTGATGCTGAAGGACTTTTAGGGATCAGTTTTATTTTCCGTAATGCCTTATAGAATTAAATGTTAAACAACTAATATGTAAATTGTTCAATAGAAGAACTTACTGGAGAGGAATAACTTCTGGTATCCATCCAGTCAGTGTATGTAGAACTGTAAATTCCTCCAGCTCTCTTTTTCCAGTTTCATGTACACTATAAGACAAAAATAGACATTATATACAATTATATTATATTCAACTCAAGTAAACTCTGTAGTCTACATTGCTTTCTGTAGGAGCAAGACTATACACAAACAGAATGGCTTGCTGAAAAACAAGTTGTTATTTGCAATTTTAGTTTTCCAATCCACTGCTGACTACTAGCCTAAAAAGTCAAATTTGCTTTTATGGCTTATGCATCACGCCCATTATTTTAGTGTTCGTTCTGGTACCATGGCATAGTTTCAACATTGTTAGCAAGCATACTATGTATATTTGCACAGAGTAAAGCCTCTTTTTGCAGAGTTGGAGATTTGGGTTTGAAATCCCTTGTGCTAGAAGAGGGATACGAATCTAGAACTTCAACTTCCTGAGCAGCTGCTCTAACTCCCAAGTTATTATGCACAAGTTGGCTGTGTTTCCAGGGTACCACACTCCACTGTTTCAAACTGATACGGTCTCCTACTCTCTGGAGAGATTTCCATGTGTAGATCCTGAGAGGACCAAGGCTAAAGATGCCAGCACTTGGCCATGAGTCACGATTGTGCTCTGGAGAAACGCCGTATTTCAAACACATTCCTACAAACAGAGTTTCCCAATTGGCAAGTACTTTAGATCACTCTCCTGACAAACATAACTTGATATGACCAGAACAGGGAAGCTTGGCTACCCAGATCAGTGTTTTGAATTTTTTTCTGAGGCTTAGTCATTTAAACACTTGGTGCTCATTGCTCATCTTATAGGAACCTGTGGCCATAATTGTCAAACACTGCACCATAGGCCACCTTCGACTTTCCAACGCAGTTTTAGGGAAGTGGATCACCGTACAGCATTGTATCAGCAAAACAAACTGAAAGTGAGCTCACTAAACATACCTAGTATTTGCCAGCTTAATGATAGCTTTGGACAGCAACATTGGCCAAAGTTCAGTTTGACAGGTTGTAGCTGGTAGTAACAAATTATCCTCTTCATTGAAAGGCATAGTGTCATCCACAATGATCTTTCTCCAGCACCCCTATGATAGAGGGAGGGGGAGGAAAGATGAAAGAAAACACTGAGTTTGTGGGCTGGAAACAGAACATGTATGTAAGAGAACTTTTAACACTTTCCCAAGAACCCAATTCTACTGTAATTTGATTTACATTACAGATGGCTTTAAAATAAGTTCTCATATAATATCTGAGAAACATGGAAACAGTATTTGTAGCATTTTATTACTGCTCTGACTTATTTATTTCAGACAGTAATCTAATTGCAGCTATTTCCAAATATATTTCCTCTGATATGTGTAGTCCATCACGTGCATGCACTCATTGCTGTTTCTTCAGCTGCCATGACAGATACCTGAGAAACAGTAATGATTAAAAAAAGGCTCAACTAAGATATCAGTTTTGCAAATGCCTCTTTAAGGTCTTAGTCTGAAAAATACTTGTGGTATAAGCAGTACCCCTTGCTGCCCAAGAACTACCTGGGGATGTTGGCTGCAGTGGTTAGTGTCCTGGAAATCATTAAGGCTGTATCTTGTAAGACACTATAGGAAACACACAAAATGACTGAATGTAACAAATATCCGTATTTCCAGAATAAGAAATAAATAGGTAAGACAAGATATGGATGTCTCCAATACCAGATATTTGATTAGTATCCCACAAAATAATCTTGCCTACCATCCTCCAAAAAAAAGTCTCTGTCCTAATGATTAAGATATAATAGAGAGGCTAAGGAATTAGTGGGGCAACAGCAAGTACTTCTGTCGAGTCACCCACAAAATGACAAGGAATGACCAAATCACTGAAATGTTCACCATATGCAATCAGAGAGGGCAAAATTACTGCTCTCTGCTTGTAATTAGACTGTGGCTTCAAGCTGAAATGCCCGTCAATTAACTCTACATGAGTTCTATAGGTTTCAGAAGAAAATAAATTTAGGCCATATGGCAAAGATACCCAAAAAGCATAAAAGAGGCTAATATTTTTTAGGATAAAAACTATTTCCTGACAGCCAAAACTAAATTTTTAACATTTCCCAAGTTTGAAAAAGACCTAGTAAGTGAAACGATCACATATTCTTCTCCTCATTCAGCAACTGCTGAATGTTAATAGAGAGAACAGTACAAGGTGAAAAGTAAAGAAAAAGATTGCTGAGATATTTGGTGTTCTATAGCTCAGGACATTTTTTAATTCAGAGTAATAGTTCTGTGCATGTAATTCTTAAAAGGCAATAGCATTTTCTGCATGTGTAGTACCATTAAAAATTTTTTTCTCCTCCTCACCAATTGCTCGCCTGTTAATAAATAATAGAATCCATATAGCAATTATTTTGCATCAGTGATAGCCTTTTTATAGCATTTCACTATTAACTCTAAAAACAATTATGCTGGTTTAAGGAGATAAGACACCAAAACAAAGAGAGAAAAATACGTGCAGCAGAAGGTTTATGGATGGAAAAGAAATCTGTAGGTAAGAAAAAGTGGAAATCAAAAAATAAATTCAATAAACCTCAGGAATGCAAAGCTAAAGTAGGATGTGGGGTAACTGAAAGAATATTGTGCCAATTATTTGAAAAATTATTATCCACAGGTTTGATCTGGTGGACAATCCCCTCAGGACTCAATACAGCATTTTACTGAAACTAGTTCATTATACTTCCACTGCGCTTTCTTTCCCTTTTCATTTAATTTTCCATTTTCTCCCGTGAAATGTTTCTCCTCTATCTCTACTGATATTTGACTTTTCTCATTTGCATTTTCTTTAATCTTCCATCATTTGACTCTCTTTTTTTTCCTCCTGTTTTTCTTTCTGTGAAATACAGCTGTGCAACCAGAGGAAGAGAAACTAAATAAACCCAAAGGCCCAAAACAAAAGTGACAAAGAAACTAAAACAACCTGATAACTCTTACAGATGCTTTAAAATGCAGTCTTTTATCACATGAATACACAACCTCTGCAGCATTAAATTCACACACAGAATAATGTCCTCTGCTGAGGAACCTGGGCAACATCATTTCTGCCTTCTCAAATTCATGCAACTCTTACTCCTTATACGAATATAAGTCATTCTGTACGTGCAGGCGGTACTAAGGGATGAGGAGAGCATGGGCATGTAAATCAGCTAAGTGCTCCCCCTTACAGGAAAGTTATGAGATTCTTCCAGTTTTAACTGCTTGCCTATTTCTTCCTCAGTGCTGGCTAGCTGACATTTATCAATAGCAAACAGCATGAAACTTCCTTTCAAAATACCATATTTCATCTATACTGTATTAGAACTGTAAGTTTTTTATAATACAAATACATGGTACAGTAATATTTAAAAACAAAATTAATATGCTCAGGGTTTTATTCCCTCTCAAGGGACACATATCAAGCTGCAATTTGCATAGGTGCGGCCATTCAAAAGTTCTCCACAGCTTTTTTTGCATTTATATTCATTCCAAAAGATGGACAGATTTATAAACAATTTAACAGGGTGATGGAGAAGTAAAAGAAATCCCTCCTTACTTCTATTCACAGGAAGTTTTTATACCATAACCAGGAGAGTAACGGTTTCCAGCATAGAAATATAATATAAGCAATTTTCTAAGGGTCATGGAAGTGTTCAAGTAATTACTTTGTATTTATAACTGTCAAGATTTCTTAAAGAACTCTGCGCTGGGATGTTTCTAAGTGACGTGCTGCATGCAACTGCGAGCAGCTCTCCACACGTCCAGCACGAAACATGGCCAGCTTATCCATCTGAGGCACTGACCTGCTTCTGATCCTCTCCAGAACCATCATCTGCTGCAGATGTGATGGAAGTTCCTTTACTTTGAAATTCTAAAAACATTGTGAGATGGGTAGTTTGTGCCCTCTCCTTTTGTAGGGCAATACTAATTATCTCAAATAATGGTAAACTGGAGACTTGCCATAAGGACCATTACGAAAAAAAAATCTCTTCACTCTTCACCAAATTATACATATATTCTCTTCCTCTCCTCTGATGTATTTTTCTGTCTCCTATCACAGAATCACAGAATCACCAAGGTTGG